TACAGAGTAGGAAAGAACACCAAGAACTGCCACCAGACGAACAGTAATGATGAGGGGGAAGTTATGTAACCAATTCCAAGTAGATCAGTTACTGATACACAATGTAGAATTTGGGGAAGAGGCAGAAATTACACTCAAAAAGCACTACATCAAATATCAATAGAAATCATCATTCAAAATCATGTTAGATTACAAAATCCAGTGATCAATCCAATTTATCCTTACTTGTACACAGTGGTAGTTGGTGTTTTCACCTTTTCCCTTATAATCCTGCACTTGAATTCATTGTACTGTAAAAATAACATATTAATACTTTGATAAATAATAAATTCAATCAAGGATAGGTGTGCAGCTAGGTAGTATAATAGAACACAAGGTCTCTTCCAAGGTTAACAATACTAAATTGCTTACCACTTAGTTCACAAGTTAATATGTCACATCATTTTGTCTTAAGATAAAGAGATCACATAGGTGCACAATGAGCAGGGTCTGGCCCCCTTTTTCTCTACCAGACCCCGCTCATCACTCGTCACCTGCCTGCTTTTTTTGATCGTCCCCACTGACCAAGAGCCTGGAACAGACTAGTTTTTTTGAGTACCAACCCAATATCTTCCAAAAGAGATTTTATGATTCCACTGGAACAATTCCATTATCAGGGCATAACCTACACAAGGACAAATGTTGGTGCAGGTGTGTGAAGGGAGGGAAGGAAGGGAGGGGTGACAATGATCTACACACAACAGAGTTCCATATGCAAGAGAACTAAAATCCAACTCATTCTAACAAATTATGTAATAATTTATTACCAAAATGAACTTCAAGTGATACCTTAAACATCACTAAGAGGTCTTCCTTTGATATCTCAAGTCTTACAAAAGGCTGTTTCTCCTTCACAATGTTTTTCGTTAAAGTATCCAAAGAAGAATAGTCATTTGAGGACACCTGCCTGCAGTCAAAACACACAAAAAGGTCAAAAAAATCAAGACTATAAAACTTCAAAAATATACATCAGCCACACAGCTATATTCTAAATATAAGTTCACAAGCATTGGCCTTAATACTAAGCCAAGAATCTTTCTACTTTGGTATAATAAACATTATAGTGTTTAAGTAACCTGGAATTTATTTCTTAAGACTGATTTATTAAATCTTAAAATTCCAAAGTAATATGCCCGGACATCGAACCAAACTTTGGAATAAAGAAAACAAAACGGAACAAGGTGTCAAGCTTTAATAAATTAAGTGTGAGGGCAAGCCAACCTTCCATCCAAGAACATGTCATAGTAATAACCCTCCTCTATCGGCGGCCCATAACACAGATGACCTCCATAGTGTCTCTCCATTGCTTCACCCATGATATGTGCACTAGAATGCCAGAACACTGCTTTGGCTGCAGGAAATAAATATTAATATCAATAAGTATTATTAATTACTAAATAAAATAATTATTGTCACCAATGCATTATCATTTGTAGGTGTCATCAAAGCATTGGCTGGTTTGATCAGACACCAATACATTTGCATTTACCATTCTTGTTTTCTTTCTTCTTTTGGTATCATTATGGTATATAATAACATGTCCTTTACAGATGGAATTATGAAGGTAACATGGCTGAGTGGTTAGGGCACTGGACTTGAAATCCAGAGGTCACAGGTCCAAGTCCTGCTCTGACCACTAAGCTAGAGTTGTTTCTCGCTAGACCCCAGTTCAATGCCTCAGTCATGCTTGTAAATAGCCAACTGGTCTACCTCCCGCCAGCTGGGATTTTTAAGCCTATTATGTTTATTTGCAATATTTGTTTCTTTCAGTTTAAGTGGGGTGTGTGTGAAAACTAGCTGGTTGTAGCTAAGTGCATCGACCACTATAAACATTCAACAACAAAAGAAAGACCTATGATGTTTGCAGTGACTTCATCCATATGTAACTCAACAACTCGTACACAACTTACATGTACGTGTGTGCCAGCAACTTAACTGACACTCTCACAATTCAATGATGAATACTACAAAACAAGAACCACACAAACAAGTTTCATTCCTGACAGAAACTAGTTCCTAAACTCCATGAACTGTCATGACCTGGCACAGCCTGCTGGCTGGGACATAATAAAACAAAAATAGGATGATGTACAGTGAAATTCATAATCTGCAGCAGCCCTAGTTTACCTTCATCATCTTCAAATTTAAGAAATTCTAGGGTGCAATCTCCTTCCAAGACTCTATCCAAGTCAAAAACTTCACCATTAACCTGCAAAGCATTGATGTTTGCTTACATATAATTGGGTGGGTGTTTTACTCTGTTAGCTGGCTCTACTACTAAAATCTTATTCATTTACTCAATTAATGAAATACCCTGGCTTGTATTGTACATCAACAACTGAAGAAGCTAGTCATAAAAGGGGATAAGTGACGATTTTGGTTGCTTTTCTTTTTTCTTGCTCCAAATTAGCTGAATTTTTGCATGTGGTCTTCAA